TAAGAGCAATTTTTATTCTATTTACCCAACAGCAGCAGTTTGACTGTCCTGGCTTCCCTCTCTGCATCTTCCTGGAGTTTCTTTTCCAGTTCTCTGGATCTCCTGGCCGACTCCTTGCTCTCTGAACTGGCTCCACTGCCCATCTTGAGACAGTAAAAATTCTCTTTATGCAGCTGATTTACTTCTTATCAGCTTTAATTCAGAAGGACAACCATCAGTGCTTAAAGAAAATTTTAAAATCCCGTTCGACCTCTCTGGTCAGCATTCAAATCAAGTGGTCCTTTTTCACCTGCCACATGACCTGGAGATGCTGTAGGCAGGCATTTACATAGGAACACAAAAAAGAAGTGTTGTGATGTCATACAACTGGAGTTACCCATTCAAGAGCAAACCAAGGTATGCATAGATCTCTCTTCTGGTTCAGGGAGGTTTTGCTCCACACTCTCCAGAAAACTGAGCAAAATGTCTTGAAACAGGATTGGAAATAACTATAGAGTAAAATTTTCAGCTTGTGTAGCAGTATGCATGCCCTGAAGCAAAAACCCCAGCACTTCCATTTTTAAATTTCCATCTTTCTCAGTGCTTATAGCTCTAAATATATGTATCCTGTATTTTCAAATGACAGAATTTGAATTATTTTGATTTATTATTTTAGATTTATTAACTAGCATGTGGAATGTTTGCTGCATTTTCATATTATGGCAAGTACATTTATTTTCTTGGAAGGGTAAAGGACACCTTACAGTAATTTGTAATAATTTTGTACAGACATTCCTTCATTAATATCATAATCTTAGCCATTTTTAAAAATTATTTTATTAGAAATTATCAGCTTTGGCTGAAAGCACCACACCTTTTCTTAAACAAAGGGCACAGGCCAGATTCTCCCCATGGATGTAATATTTTCAATTAGTTTCTTCATAGTGCAGAAATGTTATCATTTCATTTCATTTTCAGTTTCAGTTTCTTCATAGTATTACAGAAATGTTTTATGTGATATGATGAAAATACCACTTGGCACGTGGTGTCAGCAGTATATTGAGAAAATATATCTACTCTAATAGTGTGGCAGTGAAAAAGTATAAAATTACTGCCAGAACAAAAAGATAAAAAATACTTTTTTTTGCCCTTTCTCTTCAGATTAAGGATTTAGATTATATAAATCTCACCAGTGTGAGACTATTATTCATTCTAGACTTATACTAGCTCACCTCATAAGGTGAAGTTCTTCTGGTTATGTAAAAAGCATAAACATGAAATTACATTACAATTCTACAATCATTCACTAATACTAGTTAATAAAGCTCTAACTTCACAGTATGTAAATATATAAGGTTCAGCATGAAAATAATGTTTAAGGGTAAAATAAGCATGCAGGTTGTTTTGATTAATGTTAGAAGTATTTTTAGGTCAGAAGATTGATGAGGAAGAGGGCCAGAGGCAAGCTCATCCCATCCCTTGGAAAGAAACCTCCCCACAGCAGTGTGGAGCCCAGGTACAACAGGAAGGCAACTGCTACTGCCTGGGGAAGGTGAGAGTGAGCAGAACAAATATCACCAGAACAAATATCACCAGTGCACTCATGAGCTCTGAGCTACTGGTGCTGGAGAGAGCTGTCTTCTGACAAAAGACAGGTCCTTTGCTGTGCTCATCCCCTTCAGCACTGACTTCTCAGGACTGATTTTCGACCCCAGTGCAGTGAAGACACAAAGCTGTGGCTTGTCAGCAAGTTCTTCAGCCAGCAGCACACCAAGCCATGCAGATTTCAGTCTCCTTGCACCAAAATGAGCAATCAGTGCTTGTTAATGGCTCAATTTTTGCATATGTATTCACAATGCAAGGAAATTCTCTGTTTTGTTAAGCTTATATTCCTACTTTGTTTATTGTTTAAAACAGGCCATCATAAGATATTTACACAGCAATAGTAGTAACTGATTTGTTTAAAAAATGAAAATAAGCAACTTTGGAAGTGTGATAACAGGGCCAGGTGTCTGTTGATCAGAACTGTAGGCAAGTACAGTGTTCCTATCGATTTCAGAGGGGTTGAAAAGTAAGCATTTCTGAAAACTAACAGAACTAAATATTAACTGATATCACAAATCCTGGAGATGAACATCATCTCCAAATTACTGGCCCAATTCACTACTGAGTTGTTCTACACATTTACTAGTACAACTCTATTAATTTTGCATTTAATTTTTGTGGTATCAAACTAGAAGAGGGTAAGGGTAAACCATTCAGTTCACTGGATAGGTGTAAATGAATCTTCATACACATAATTTTTCCTAGATGGAAAATAATGGAAAATCAATGTCCATCCCAAAATATAAGTTTCCTAACATTCTCTGTTATTATGGCTATGTACAGAAATAGCCTTTCTGAAGGCTATTTCTACTTACTTAAAGCTATTTTTACAGAAATAACTTTAAGTAAGTAGATGTCTAAATCAAGCAGATAAAGAGAATGTGCATAAATAAAGATAAAATCTATTATTCCATAAACATGCAGTGTCTATATTACCCATTTTATTTACTCAGCTCTACCTTCAAACTCTTAATAGTTTATTGAAAAAAGCCCTTTAACAATATTTCTATTTCTTTAGGGAGTAAACAGGATTCTGTTTTGCTTTAGACATCCTCTTCCTCCTCATCATCACTAACAATGTTTTTATTGAGGAAATTTCTGCTGATGATTATTAAGCCAGAACCAACAGAGAATGCCTTACAGGGTTCAGTTGATCCTAAAATGTTTTTCAACATCTTTTCTTGAGCTCTTCTAGGTGCAATAATAAAAATATGGTCTCACCTTGCTTCTCTTCTATTGTTTCAACCACCTTAATCTGGTATGGAAATCTTTGAAGGCAAGTCTGGAAAATGTTCCTTTGAAATGAAGTTATCCTTTGTAAATAATATAGGTCTTGGGGCTGCAGTTGTTTCTGGTGATTCACTCTAGGTGGTGCTGATTAAATATAGAGTGTTCACTAAAGCATTCTGCAGCTGTACCAGCTCTCAGACTGCCTGAAAGGCTGTTTCAAAATCTCTTCAAAATCCTTGGATGGGCATTTCAGATTCCAGTTGCAAATTTTTATTTTGTATTAACGTTTTACTGGTCTGGGATTTTTTTGGCAAATTATATAGATTCTCCTGATAACAAAATTCTCAAGTAACTTAAGTTTTAATTTTCAGTTTCATCTGAAAATACTAAATGTGTCCTAGCCAAAGAAAGAGGAATAGCTAAGGAAAGTCATACCTTTTAAATTCTGTCTCTTACTTTCTCTCTAGGACTTTGAATTTATAATTTGTTCAGACTGGAATTTGTTAATATTTTCCACTTTTTCACTAAAATGAATGTTTTGCCTTTTCCCTGATAAAATTTAGTGGAATGACATAGATGAAAAAGGAGGAAGTTTTATAGAGAATAGATTTCTCTAAATTTAGGAACTTTTAGTACAAATCCTTCAGTATGCTTCTAAATAAAGGAAGCTTGAAAAATCTCCAGTACAATGCCTTTTACAATCAGAGGAAACTGTTCATCTCTTTTGTCTGGCTACTGAATTTCTTGCAATGTGCCTCCCAATTACACACTGGCAACATTTCTGTGGGAAAAAGACCCACTGAAACATTGACAAACCCATCCAGACTTTGGTAATTTCCAGTGTGCAAAGATACCTGCTCCGTGACAGATATTTATCTTTTGAGGCCTGTTCTGAGCCTTATCTCTGGCACTGGGCCACAGTCAGGGGGTCAGAATGTGGAGCTGAGGTGGTGTCCCCAGGCAGGGCTGTGCTGTGTCCCCTGCTCAGGCTGCAGTGTCACCTGCAGTGACTCCCTGCTGACTCCTCCTGGCAGCTTTGCACAGGAATGGACCCAGAGGAAGCCTCATCATTCAGCAATGAAGAGCCCTGGGAAACTTTAAGTTTGAATTTATTTCTACTTGGAGCTGAGGGTTAGACTAGAGACCACAGGAAGTCCCTCCCAGCAAAAATAGTTCTTTTGTTTTCTTAGAGAAATTTCAACTAGCTTTACCTTAGCTTTAATTTATAAAGCTTGGGCTTTATAAATATACTGGGCTTAAAATATATGTTTGGGCTACCAAGGCCTTTTACTTCTTTTTTTTTACCCTCAATATAAACAAAAACATAGGACCTGATATTTTTTTTATTTGCTCTGCCTGTTCCTAAGCTTTCTGTTTCCCTTTTCAGCACAGAATATAAGTATGAAAATCTAAGTGAAATCTAAGATTTTTGTGTCATTTCAGCCCCTCACCACCCAATTTGTCATCTTCTCTCTAGGAAACCTTACCAAATAGCAGTAGAAAAAAAAAATAAAATCTTGGCTCTTAGCTCTATCTTAGTACAGCGATGATACTGCAAAATTTGCAAAGCCATTTAGTTCTATGAGAAAGGTAAAAGGAATGGTCATTCATTTCTACTGCTCACAGAGGTGAAACAAAAAAAGAAGGATAAAAACAACATTACAGATGTCTAAAGAAAATGTTTTTTAAACAATGAGTTCTTACATTTTAAATCCTATCCAAATATTTTTCCTGAAGTATTGATATAAGCAGAAATACTTTCCCTTTTTGTGAAAATCTTTATCCCACTATGACATAGGTGAGCTGCTGTGGCTTCAGTACACTCATTATCCTTCATTCTGTAATTGCAGCTTATGCTGATTCAATGGAATGCAACACTGTGAGAAAAAAGTTCCTGAGCACTAGGGGGGACTGGCTGGCTGAGATTGGTGCAGGTGAGAGCCACTGAGCTCTGACAAGTTTGTCACTACTTCAGCTGAAACATTTTCTGCGTTATCAGGAGTCCTACGCCAATTTTTGACAGTAGACGTGTGGCTGAGCTGCTGTGTGCAGATTAAGAACTGGTCATTCCAAAAGTCTGAAACTTGATATGTATATTTGGCTGACCTGTGGGGAAAAAACCAACATCCAGTACACAGCTATAAAAGCCCAAACCCTTCAGTGTCTCTTGAACCAGTATTCCAGTCTGTGCTTACAGGATGCCTGGGAAGTGTTTGACAGAGCTGCACTGAGCTTGGCAACTTCCCCTGGCTTCTCACATAAGAACAGCAAATATTTCAGGCCCTGACCTTTCTACAAAGATTATCAAATGATCTCTCTGCTATGGTAAGTTTAATTTTTCTTGTGGTTTATTGCTGATTCACACAAGAAAATGGAAAAGAAAGGCCAGGAGTTAGTGCATTATAAAATGGTTTCAGATCTTTGAACTCAAGTACTTCCCACCGGATTGTCCAAGGCTCTCTCCTGCTTACTGCTGTAAGAGATGCACCTGGTATGTTCAGAAAGGGGAGAAAAAGGGAAAAAAAGGAAAAGGGAATCTTAATGGGAAAATGGGTGATGCCTGCTGTTTCTGATGAAAGAATTAAGTTTCTAGTACAAGGTGAACAGTCAAAAGGTACATTAAAAAAAAAAAAAAAGGTCTAAAACAATGAGGAAATATTTTGTCAACATCCCACTCTGAACAATTCCAATTCCCTGTAGAGCCATATATTGACTCATCAAGTCCCATTGTTCCTGGATAGCCAGAAATTAATAAAGAGTAAATGCAAACACAATTCTGATTTGACTTGTAGAACCTTTTAAATAACAAATATTTTAACCTTTGTTTTTATTGTCAAACAAACATGCAATACAAATTATGGAAAAAAATAAAGACATCTTTTCCATGCAGATTTACATTTCTTATCTTTTATTTGGCAGACTTTTCCCAGCTAAAGAACTTGTGATTTCAATCCTCCCATCAGAATCCATGCAGCTCTGTACTGACAGTGTTTTGTAGTGGCTGGATAAAATATGATTTCTAAATGCTGATAAGGATGCAAGTGTGTAATTTCAGAGATTGGAGTGATTTCCAGGATGTCAACTACTCTGTGTGGAAGGTGTCCACCAGATTTTCATAAGAGCTGTTGCCATATTTCAACAATACCTGTAGAAACAACTGTAGAAGAGCTTATTCTGCTGCTGAGCTAACACACTTCAATCTGTTTTATTTAGCATGGATTCTTATATTACATACTTATGGAAGCTGACTGACATCTGCTGTGTTATATTTGTTCTTTCATTCACATTCCAGGACATAATAACTAAATAAGATCCTTAATTTGATAGGTTTTTAGAGAGGATTTTTTAAACAAATTTTAATTATTTTAATATTTTTTAAAGATTCATATCATTGTAACTCGATGTTAAATATTTAAAAGGATAAAGCATGGCACCTAAATGTGGTAAGGTAATATTTATAATATTGAAATAATCCTGGTAAAACTCTTAAACTCTTTATCTTGCTCAGTGTAACTTCTGAAAGAAAAGTTATTTCTTCAGAGAAGAAAAGTTGTCTCTTACTATCTTTGTGATAATTTTGTAACTATTTTAGCCTCTGATTTAGTCCTGTACATTGCCTTCCTCCATGGTCAGATCTCCCTAACTTTTTAAGGTCTTTAGCTGAATACCTGAAGTGTTTTCTCTCTTGCAGGTATCCTGCAGTACTGTGAGATGGTGACATGGTATACTTCATCCCAAACCATGCAGCATATGAAGGTAATATTGGGAATTTTAACTCTTTGGGGATGTTTTTTGTATTCTTCCATTCTAGTTATGAAGGAGTGTTCTAATTAATACAACTCTAGCTGACACTTCCCCTAGAAAAATATGCATTGTCCTGTGAAGAATTCAAGGGAAAAGGGAAATTATCTCATTCTTCTCAGCTCCCACTCCCCTCAGAGAAATTTTAAACAGCTGAACATTTCTTCCTGAGCTAGGCTGGCCTCCACCCCAAAATGTTCCGTTCTTAGACAGGGAAGGAAAAACAAAAACAAAATGTTTTTCTTACTCTCCTGAATGGATTGAGCACAGATCAGGCCCCCTGGGTATTTGGGAAGGAAGATCCTAAGTACATACGTTAAGAACTCCACCCACATTCAGTAAGTTGATGGGAAGAATGTAAATCTCTGAAAACTCAGGTCTCATAAGAGTTGAAGTCAGGACTTCAGTGCAAAGGAAAGGGAAGGGCCTACAAGACTAGCCAGACATTTTGTGAATGAAAGTCTAAGTGTTGTTCCTTAAGAAATCACAGACAGGAGCGGGTCTATGCCTTCAACAAAGGGTCAAAAAGAAATGTAATTGGGTAATTATAAAATGACATGTTGACATGGGGACACAACCATACTTTCAGTCAGCATATTAGTCTATGCCTTCAGGGATGATGTTTTTTGCTTCTCAAAATCAGCCAATCTTTTCCAGAATTAAATATCTCTCCTGTTTTATTCTCTAAGTGCTCTTAGTTCTAGTCTTTTGAGATCTTGTTTTCTTGGCAGCTACAGATGTTTTGTGAAAATGTCTCTTTAATTTCTTCCCTTGCTTTCATGTCTCAAAGTTAGCTTTATTTAAGCCTTCCTCTAACTGAAGTGCAGAGCAGAATCTGCCAGTTTTTTGTACAATATCTGTTTCATATTCTCTTGTTTGAGTAATTTTCTCATTACAGATTCTGCAAGATAAGGCTGCAGGTGTTTAAGACACTCTGTAGGATAACTTGAGTGACTCCATGTTGCAGTGTTCAATGTCTGAAATGTTTTGTTTATTCTGGAAATTGATGTTATCTCTTTTTATTTATTACTAAATCTGTTGTGGTAGCACTTTCATGGGATGCAGGGTGACATTTTCTTCAGAAGTCACTGCAGTGCCTGTCTCTTATTTTAACGTGCTGTGCAGCTGGCAAGCTGTGTTACTGATATTTCACACAACTCTGTCAGACTATTTATCTGTGTGCCCTCTGCTGCTCCAGAGTCACCCTGATGAAAAGTCACCTGTGGGCTGAGCTCTGTGGGCTGAGCTGGTCGGATGCCAGGCCCTGCCCTGTGTGATTCCAGCTCACAAACCTGCCACGGTCCTGCTGGCTTAGCAGTCACGGCTCATGCTTCAGTCTGGTGCTCTGCCTGGGTCTTACATTTCATTTGTATCTGCTCACTTCTTAAATCTCTCTGAAGCACAGATGCTGCAGGGCTGGACTCCTGTGCTTGTGATCAAGCAAACATACACACAGATGTATGTATCCAATCCCATCCTCTGTTCAGATTTCCACTCTGCAGTTAAACTGTTCCTTACAGACGTGGTTCAGCCATGCACGCTGCTTCTCCACATGACCTGCTCTCATGGAATATCTTGTGGCATGTGACATTAAGAAAAATGCTTTCTTACACAGTATTTTCCCCCTGCCCTCAGTTATACGTTGAATTTATAGGCATCAGCTGTATTAGTAAACTCAAGAGTGCCTGGCAATTTTCCTGGAACTGGATTCTCTGTGCTTGTATGTCTTAGGACAGTCCCAATAAAGAATTTGATGTGCTTATGATATCCCCTGAACATTTCATACACTTGGCCAGACAATATTGGCACAACTAAAGGCAGATTGCTTACAACCTGCTTGGTTTGAAGAGTGACAGTTTATTAATAGACTTGAGCTGGACTGTGATAATTGTTCTCAGCTTCTCTAGGTGTGAGTCACATGTTCTGGACTGACATGGCACTTCTGTTAGATGGCTGCAGCATCCTGCTTATTTTACAGCACCATCTATCCCGATCCATGTGTGTGGGCAATACACAATGTGACTCAGGAACACAAAACTTATTCAACAAAGTGGTCCTTCAGTGTTCTGTGGGCATCTGGCAGCTCCCTTCCGCTCCTGCTGAAACCCTAAGTACTATCAAGCGAAGAGCAGAGCAGCCTCTTCCTGCATTTCCCACCAGTTTATTATTCTTCTCTGGCTTGTGGAGAGTCCTCAAGGTTAACACCTGGAAAGTCCTATGTTCAGAAGAGAACAGGCAGTGATGTGCTCCCTGGTAATCTGTTGAAATTATTGGCCTGCCTGTATCCAGAACCAGCATTTTTTCTCAAGGCTCTGATCAGCCACGTGCTCAGCATCCTCCCTGCGTCATTATCTTGGGAAATACGCTCCGACACAGCAAGTAAGAGTAAATTGTAAAACTGCCTTGCCAGAGAAGGGCAACAGAGCTGGGGAAGGGTCTGGGGCACAAATCTACTGAGGAGCAGCTGACAGAGCTGGGGACGATTATTCTGGAGAAAAGGAGGCTCAAGGGGGACATTATCACTCTCTACAACTGCCTGAAAGGAGGCTGTAAACAGGTGGAGGTTGGTCTCTTCTTTTTACTTCAGGTAAAAAGTGTTAGAACAAGGCAAACTGGCCTCGATCTGCACTGTGGGAGGTTTATATGTGTGTCGTATAAACTGTAAATCACCTCAGCTCAGAAAAGGTGTACCTAAATTTGGATTCTATATATGTTAATTTATTCACTTCAATAATGAAAAATGTGTTGTAAATATTTCTAAATACATGATTTTGAACAAAAATATTGCACACACAGTATCCTGTCAAGCAAATCTCAGAATTCCCTAACACATGTGTACTTACTGACAGACAATAATAAACCAATTATCTTTTTGGTTTTTGATGAACATTAAATAGAATTCACACCCCTTACATGGAAAATACACACATGTATGAGATTAACATAAATTATTCAATAACAGAATGTAAATTTCCCTCTCTCTTTCTTTCTTTAATTCATCCTTCCTTTCTCTCTTCCTTTCCACCCTAGCCCTTTATCCAAAACATACTATTGTGTGCTTGTAGTAGGCCAGGGACTAACATATCAATTTCCATGCCAAGTGTGTAACTTACTGATAGAAGAGAGGTTTTGCAGTTTTTGTGTATATGTACTATTTTATTGCTCTGTTTTATGTTATGTATACTCTTTATTTATAATTATTTAAAGTCATTAATGGTTAATAAAACTATTCTGTCAGTGCTGTTACCATCTTGAAATGTATATTTTGACATGAGTTGCAAATGTCTGCAGATGCCTATAGTGTGCAAGCTGACACCTGGACAAGTCACCTTTAGTCATTTTTATAGACAATAAAAATAATAGACCCTTCCACAGTTCAGTTTTCCCTCATATTTGAAGTATGCAGTGCAGAGGTCTCATCTTGCTGCCAAAAACCTTCAGCAAGGAAACTAAAACCTTTTTGTCTCATTTACACTGTCACAAAAGTTCTTCTGAGCATTTTTCCCACTAGAAGAAAATCCTTTTCCTCAGCACCATCCTGTTTTTTTTCACTGTTCTAAATTCAGCAGCTCTCCAGGGAGAATTTTAATAGTGTCCTTCTCCCATGCAAGTAGCTGGTGCAGAAGCTATGGATGAACTGATTTTCTCAAAATTGTTGGACAGCTGACGATGCCAGCAATGTCCAGAATGACTCCAAGAGACAAAGGTCAGCTTCCCAGTTTAGGAAAACACTGTAAAGATCTTGAAGTTAGAAGCTTTTCCAGACTTCAGTTCCTGGACATGTCTGACTTGTTAGTGGCAGTTTCCTGCAGAGGTTACTGGAGGCTGCCTTCAGTGGATGGTGGCTGCAGAGACATCCTGATAAACTCCAGGACCTGCTGGGAAAAAGGTCCATGTGAAATTCATGAGTACTCAAAAAAAAAAAAAACTTGGAAAAAAGACAGAAAGTTGTACAATGGCCAAAGCCAGTGATAATTTCCAACATGTTGTAACAGAAATGAAATGATACAGCAATTTTATTGATAAAATTACATATTTTGTTAAAATAGTCCAGGGGTTGATCTATGAACACAAACTGAAATGGTGATTAAGGGCAATGGGGGACAGGGAATGTCCCTGTGTTGACAGCTACATTCATCTTTGTGTTGACAAGAGACCTTTTGTGTGTAGGGTGGTTGGATTTTTTCCCTATTCCTCAAGTAATATAACACATTTAATTTCCCTTTACCAGATTAATTGTATAGTTTAACCATTCATCTAAATGTCATTTTTACAGGGACAGATTTATGTCAAATGTTATATCTAATTGGTAACTAGGAATGGAATCCACCTCTGGGATAAATTCTACCTGTTCTTATCTTGCAGTCTGAATAATAAATCATTTGTTCAGAACTCATGTGTTTAAAAATGAAAACAAAACAAAACAAAACAAAAAAATCCCAACCCCAAAAACACAGACCAATAGAAATAAAACAGAAATGTTTTCTCTAGCAGAAAAATAAATATAAATGAACTGCATAAGCAAGAAAAAAATTGGTTACTGTGTATCTGACTACACTGAATTATGATCCACTATAGAAAAACCTCTGTTTTACTACAGGCTGAGTTCTGAATTGCTTTGAGTCTGTGTGGGTGTACATGGAAATCATATGGGGGAAAAAAAAAAAAAAAAGAGTTAAGGCTTTAGAAGGAGCAAAAAAGCCTCGTTTCTTCAAATATCCTAAGGGCAAGAAGAAAGTGGATATACAGACACCTTCTGAATATGATGCCTGTCTTAGAGTTACAGATCTGTCATAACAGGCATACCTGAAAGGAATTATAGCTGATAATATCCAAATCAACATCGTCAAGGAGAGTTCTACCCAGAAATAAAAGTACATGGCTGCAATACAAGCAGAGTTTCATAACACAAGGGAAGGTGCTTGGTTTCATCATATCCTTAGAGAAGCCTCTTAGAGCTAAGTGCAGAAGCTCATAATGGAGGTAAAAGTCTTCTTTCTCCTTGTTACACATTTTCTGATTGAAAATACAGGCACATTCTAGACAAAAATGTTTTGTACATTCACATTTGCACTTTGTAAATAAACACCAGCTGAATGTAATGGGCAACTGACCTCTTATAATCTAACTTTTGCAAGAAATACATTGAATTTTTTTTAAGTGTTTATCTAGTATAATATATGCAATCTGAAATTATGACCATAAATTTATTTTATTTGTAATAGTTTTGACAGATTAGATATGTTTTTCCATTATTAATTGATAAAGAATATGCAAGGGGATTATGGTGTTTAGGTAACAAATCAAAGACAAGTTGCATTGGGCATTAGAAAATAATGAGTTTATGAAAATAATGGTCACAGTGAAAATAAAAAATAGCACTGATTTTTTTAAGTTTGGAAGATAAACTAACAGGGAAATGAAATGCAAAAGTGTTCATAATAGCCTAAAAATACCAAACAAGCATTTTCAAGAGAATGGAAATCAAATGCTCTGGTTAGAAAAGAAAAAAAAGGTCATAATTTAAGACAGGAAATGTTTCTATTAGATCTTCTGAAAACTTTCTAACTGTAGTGGAAGTTTAGCACTGTAAGATGTGAAGTTTATGGAAATCATAACCATAATAATCATGTATCAGACACCGTTATGGCAAACTAAATCCAGCATATTTAATGCAGAGAGACAGAATGCATCTTTTGAAGTTTTTGAAGTCCTAGGTACTATTACATTTCATTTCTCTTCTAATTCACATGAATCCTAGTGTGCCTTTACAAAATTTAGCTAGCTCAGTGACTTCTTCCTCAAATAGTGTTTTTTGGCTATCTACAAAGGTCCTCATGATTGTTTCTCTTTCCTTCCTGAATGATACACTGAAGTATTGTAACATATGCCTTAATGTAGGCCAGATTAGAGTACACCTCTTTATTTACTTTAAAGAGAATTACAAGGGTTTGAGAAACTTTGTTTAGGCTGAAGGCTTTTCTCTAGAGCCTCCAAATACATGGTCATTCCTTGCTTTTCACAGGATTCCAGGACTCAAAGGGGAGTCCTGAGTAAACACAACAGTATTAAAAAAAAAAAAAAAAAGGATAAGAAAGAAAAAGCTGCATAGAATTTAGTCCAGATTAACTAAGGAATTCCTAGTTACCTCAGTATGCAGCTGCTGATTTCACCCAGATTCAAAATGACCATTCAAAATGACTCTGACCATATGGATTAGCCACCCCAAGATGTGGTAGGGCTGACCTGGGCCTGTGAGGTGAGTCAGAGTGCTCAAGCTGGTTAGCAAGATTCCTGCTGCAATCAGTGCTAGGAGCCTCCAGGAGACTGCCTGAACTCTCCAAAGAGGTGTTGCACGTGAAATTTAGCTCAGGCTTTTCTACTAACAACAGAAAATGCTAAGAAGGAGGTCATAAAGTAAGGTGTCTCTGTAGTCTAGTGGTTCAGTTCTCTGTAGTGGATAGGCACTCAAGAAAATACATATTTTTTCTTTATATCTAGTACTTGACAACTGGTAAAACCAGAATAAGGATGTTCTCCCCTCTTTTTGGAGAGTTAAACTCATCTTTTAAAGTCTGATTGAGGATGAGAGCTAAGTGGAAATATCTGTGGCTGCTCTGATGAAGATTATTTGAAGGACCTTATGGCATAAAATATAAATCTGAACCTGACCACATTCAGGGTTACATCAAGCTTGACAGTGAATACTGAAATTCTCTTAATTCTTCCCCAAATTCTTAATTGTTCTTCAGGTTTCTCATTGGCACCAAAATTGGTGATCTGAAACTTATCTTGTGTGTAAAGAATGGATCTTTACTTCAGAAATTCCTAAAATGTTTTGGTTTATTAAGGATGTATTCAAGACTTGAAAACAGCTATTAAGAGAATTGTTTAACTACTTTAAGCTACTTTAACTACTACCTGTTTCCTTCTTTTGTTGAGCATTTAATAAAAACTAGAACATTGCTTAGGTGGTGATAGAAAACAAAGGTCTTGGGGTGAAACCTCCTCATAATTAGGGAGGTGTGCTCATTTTATTGTTCCTGATCTTCCTTCCCCTTCATCTTTTGTTGTTTCACTGATTGATAATTACAAAGAGCTTGCAGAGGGAGTTTTGCAAGAGTGGATCTGTTCAAACAAGATTTCAGGGAAGCCCTATGTCTTGTTATCCAGTTGGAAATTATATTCATAGTTGAGCACTATATTTTCCAGTTATTGGAAGTCCAGGCTTGTGCTGCATTTCTGCTCAGCTGGACACAGAAAAAGGCCTGATACCCACTTGATGCATTTAAGTGCTCTGGTAACACCAGGAATAAAAGCATGGCTAGTGATGTGTGTCAGGGTCCCTAGTAACTCAGGGAACATAGGAGCTGACTCCTTATACTGATGGCAACTAACTGATCACCAGGACATTTACAAGCATTAATGCCTGCCTTCCTTCTACAAAAGCTTTCAGTAATTCCACTGGCAGGGTTTATAAAGTATATTGCTGTTCATCTTTTCCATTCTGCCTCAAACCAGAACCTTTTGTTGTATTGTTTCTTCATGAATGCTTAGATGCAGCAGTAATGCACATATCACTTTGTTCTAATTTTGTATGTATTGCTTCTTTTTTCTACATATTTTCCTCGTCTTCTCTCCCTTAATTTCATGGTGTTAGCCCAGGAAGTGGTGAGATCCAAAGATAAAGCAGGACTGGACAGGGGACTTCCTGAAGCCTTGTACTGATACTGGATCTGAAATGGGGGACCTGGTGCTTATGAGCATCCAGATAACATGAGGCTGAAGAGCAGTGTAAAAAGGAAAAAAGATAGATAATTAATCAGTCCACCCTCTGCAGGCTGTGAGTCCCTCAGCTGCCCCACTTATGTGAGTTTCCCTTAAGAAGAAGGAGCACAAGGAAAGATAAGAATTTTAGATTACAGTACCTGTGAATGGATAACAGAGTTCTGGCCACCTCCTGTTTATCTCAGTTACACAAATCACAGCAGTCCCATCCCTCTTCTGCTGGACCATTATTCTTACCCATCCAAATGATCTGAACATTCAAGTAACCAGCAAAAATATGTGGTTAACAGAGACTCAAGCTCAGTCTCATCCTGTGGTTTTGGTGTTTATCTGTGTTCAGACAGAGAAAATTCTAAAAATGCAAGTCAAATTACATGATGTGCTGGCAGTCTAGAAACCCTGTCTTCAGTCACAGAAGAATTATCCCTCTGCCAGCTGATGCTGTTGAGGAATTCAAGATGTTTAGAGTAAACTCATACTAGATATTGAAAAAAGAATACTAGGAAATGTGTTAACTTCTTTTTTTGTATTCCACAGGACCTCAGACAAACAAAAAAGTCCAGATAAACAAACAAAGTTTGTTAGGCAGCCAAAACAGGAGAAGCCATCTCTGCAGCATGTGTTCCACTAGAGAGCCCCAATGCAACAGCAGCAGCAGCAGCAGAAGAAAAAGAATTTGGGATTTTCTCACCATTCTGGTTATGGGTTCTCCACATCCTCCCTAGTGGTTTGTTCAGAGGAACTCAGTGTGAGGCCCTCCCAGTCAGGGATAATCATGAGGATAAAGGTGATACATGACTAAATTCTTGTCAGGATACACCATGCATGTCCTATTAAGGACTTCCAGGGTTTATTAATATGACATAAATATATGACTACACCTCAAGCCACAGCCCACCAATATAGCCCCCATCCCCAAGACGATAAAGTTTCTCTCTCTCTTTCTCCTACAAACCCTTTTTCATTCCCCATTTTGCCTCTTAGTGTTTTTTGCCTTAGATGTGAGATTTGAAGCAAAACCAAAAAGGGTGTTTGTTAGTGTTTTTCTAAAGGTGAAATCAGAATTTTACCAGAATTTATAACATATATGGCTGAGGCTCTAAAATAAAAATACTGTTAAAGTAAAATCACACAGTTCATAAAAAAGATAGAAAGAGATGGGAAAGTAAATTCTGTATGCAGACTGGGAAGGAACTAATGAAATCCTCAAGCCACGTTTTTTCACTTGTTTGGAAAAGTACTGAAACAGACACACAAAAACACATCAATAATAAATATATTTATAAACAAAGTTTTATGTTAGGGTGAGTTTTAGAAGTAGTCTCCCAGAGAAAAAGATGAATTATGTCCTCTAATGGAAACCTGAAATTAAATGAAAAATCTGAAGCTACCCTTAGACAGGTAAGTGTAATACAATCCTCTAGGGGAGATTTCAGAGAAAATAAAATTAAACTGTCCTCATCTCATGCTGTTCTTCCCTTTTCTATGTTCTATAAAGCATTTCATAGGAAATAAAATGGAACCATAGGATTAATCTTTATTTGTTCTGGAGTCACATTTTTCCTTCATGTTGTCTCTCAATGTCTTCCTAGATTTTAGCTTTACCTGGCACAGCAAATCCCACCCCTTGAACATAAGACAGACCAAGCCTTGGAATTAATTCTGAATTTTGCTACTCCAAGAAATAGACCTGGCACAAGAGGTTGTCTGGGGCTGAGCAGCTCCCCCTAGAAGGAAGGAAGGAAGAGGAAGGTGGTGGGAAAATGGGTCAAGCTGGGCTTGCTGCTACTGCTCACTCCCAGGAGACAGGGAAATAAAGGATGGTGTCTGAGGGAGCTCCTCCTGCCCCTCTGCCCAGCACTGCACACCAGCCCACTCACCACAGAGAGACAAAACTCCTTTGTAAAGCTGCAGTCACCATAAACCATGGCAGGGGAGAAGTACAGATGTTTGGGGTTTTTTGATCTGTCTGTTTTTCTAAGCAGCTGCCTCCATTGCCCATGGGCAAATCAATCATCAATAGGAGTGAGTTAATATCCTGTAGGACTGAAGGGAGATTTCTGGCTCTGCCTGTTAGAGAGAAGAACGAGGCAATCTGGTTTCTCAGAACAACATTGTCAGAAGTGGCTGTGGGTAGCTTCTCAAGCTATCATCAGTTTACCTCAAGTACAATATATTTCTGGCAAGACAAGTCTCCATTTGAGGTGATTTAGCCTTCTTCATGTCAAGGTTTACTGGTATTAGTCCAATCTGTTGGGTATTAGTCCAACCCAATGTTTCCTTTTGGGAAACTCATCAGGTATTTCTATAAAAACTAAAAACCATTGTGTTGCTCCATTTGGAACATTTTGTACCATGGAATCCCTGCCTAGAACTTGTTCCTGCTACACCTCTTTTGAGTAGCTGGCTTCTAAAATGTCAAGACACCTCCTTGCTTGTCTGTGCAAATTATCTTTTTTTCATTTTTCCCCCCATTTTTCTACAACTTTTTTTAGTTTTTACTCTTTTTGTCTTACTGAACCTTTGGGTCCAATACCTGAATTTGAATTTTTTTTTTATAAGAAAGGAGTGTAAGGATTAACAGAGAGAAAATAAAAAGTTTATTGGTGTTTGCCCTTGAGCACAAGCACATGCTTCTGATTGCAGAAGTTGGTACCCAGGAATGGTCAGAAGGCCCCTTTTTCATAGAGAAATTTATGTCCTGTGTTGATGGATCATTGCTGTCACTGAAACAAAACACCACTGCACATTTTTTAGTCAGAATACACTTCCATCTCACTCTTTTAAAACTTAAGTGGATTTTATGAAGTCTGAGTAATGTAGTCATGGCCACTGTCACGGACATGGCTGGTGTCCATAGCCATTCATTCATGGCTGGCATCCATCCACATTTTCAGAAATGCTTAAAAACCTTTGTAAATGTTGAATACATTTTGCAAACTGACCTTGATTCTTGGAGGCTGTAAACAAAGTCAAGGAATTCCACTTCCCACAGATGATTATCTGTAGCCTTGCTGGTGATTCTCTTTATCGGTGAATACTGCTTCTAAAATTCTTTTGCCTGTTATGCACAACTGTTGGAGATTGCTCTATAAAAAGAAATATATTGAGGGAATTTCCTTTAATGGACTAAACAACATCTTTGGCTGTTCCTTCTTATTAGTATTTTCTAGTTGACATAGTGAATATTTTTATGTACTTCTTGAGATGTTTTGTGAAAGTCATAATTTCAAATGGTTCTCATCTTAATTTTTCATACTACTTCTTCACCTAAACAGTGGCTATAACTTCTGCTAGCAATACAATTTCATGTTTAAGTCTTTAAGTATTTTTGAGAGAGGCTACATGGATTTTACATAGTTGTCCTGATGTTTTTATTTTGAGGAACCGCTGAATTATGTTACTACAAACATCATAAAAATGACAAAAGAAATCAATGAAGTGTGTTTAAATGATGTATCTGTATAAATTCTAGCAAGCTTTAATGTTCTAGTTGTATAGAAACTAGATTTAAACTAATACAGGCTAATACTTAATATCAGCTCACTTCTGATTTATTTACATAGATTTGTACCGTGAAAGCCAGTGAAGCAATTAGGAGTTCCTGGAAAAATCAGATACTTTCTATGAGAATTTAATTTCTTATCAGTCTGCTTTTTTTTTGAATGAAAAATGTATATTTGTGTTTGTTTTCAAAATAATTCTGTAACTGATGATATTGTAACTATTGACAGGTAAGCTTGTTATAATGTCTTCTTTTGAATTGACTGTTTAGGAACATTTTAATTTTCATTTTTCAGGTGATAATTCCTGAATTTAGTCTTTTAATTCTCACTGGAATGAAATTTTGAAACCTTCTTTATAAGTAACAGATATTGGAGAGTGAAAGATTACACTTTTTAACCCATTTAAGTTACCAATTTGAATTTAATGACTTCATTAGATGCCTATGAATTTTTCTTCTTCTGCACTGTATCTGCAATTGTATGATGCTATGATTTGGTGAAAAAAAAACAAACAACAAACCCCCCAAAAACCCATTTCAAAACACCAAACCCCCAATCCCATTTCCAGCTGTAAATGGACTTCCCAGATTTAGTTTTCTGTTACCTGTGTGGGACGTTGACCTCTCGGTTTCCAGAAGGGTGCCTAGTGGAGCTGCTGCTCTCTGCAAAGTGACAAGATGTGTGTCACACTCCCTCTGACCAGCAGCCACTCAGCCTTTTGCTGCCCAGAGTCCTCTGTCCAGCACAACCAGCAGCTTCTCTCTTCTCACTGAGCTGTTGTCATTTGCACAATTTTCCCTACTAAAGACCCAGACCAAATGGATCAAAAAAAGACATTGAAAGATTTGGTTTTATTTCTGGAAGTGGGGGGAATATGGAATTTTTTTAGGGGAACAAAAAGCTTGTGGGAGGGGATATATTATTGTTATGGGATTTTTAGATGCTTTCTTATGTGGTTTTTATGCTTTGTCATTTCATTGTAACCGTTGAAAGCAGTCTTACACAAAATAAAAAAATTAAAAAAAAAATAAAATAAAAAAATAAAGGGAGAATTCCTGTGACCTGTAATGAAAACAAAAAAATCCAAGCCAGGAAAGCAAAGTCTGAAAAGATACAGAAGGAAAACAGCAGTGCTTTTCTAAAGTAGAAAAAATGGAAGCCTGGTCTGGACTTTTTAATTACTGCTCCACTATATCATTCCACTCACTCCAGGGAATTTCATCCAAATCTTCTCTGTATGGGTGTGGAATATCTTTTTGTGCCCTTAACAGTTAAGGAACAAGAATATCAGTGGGGCTGCTTCCAGGATGGAGCTGCAAAAGCAGCAGAAGGTATTTAATTATCCTTAACATGCTCATGTATATGTAATGAACAGAGACACAGAGCACTCGGTTGTTTCTGTTTTCTCCCTCATTCTCTGTAACTAAATGCAACAGTGAATTTGAGAAATGTATTACACTAAAGGTGGGTATAAGGGGGTTTAGGTTATTTTTAGTTAATTCTTTCTGTCACATGGTCTCACAGATAGCGCTTCAGAGGAGCAGTTATCCTGGTATCCCTGCATTTCCCACAGCTAGGGCTCAGCAAACCCCAGGCACATAACTAGAGCACAGGTCCTTCCCCTGATTGCTCTATGATTAGGAGTCACTTCCTGCGTACTTAACTCAAAAATGTGATTACTCTTCAAGATGTAGGAAGGCTCAAATTTAGACACAGTTGGAAACTGCACAATTTTTTTTCCCCCTCAGTTAAACAACAAGGACAAACTGTTTATACAAATATTGACACGCTGTTCTCAGCAGGACTACAAAATGCAGCTGGTCACTGGTTCACTACTGGGAGTAGTTCTGTGCTGCTCCCAGAAGCACAGCTAGAGACTTAGTAAAACCTGTTTCCACCAAGCACTTCACAGCCAACCTGCTGCTTTAAAGGCCACTGCTGTCACTCACCATGCTTTCTTTAAAATTATAGCCATAGCTCCATTTCGTTGAGAATTTCAGTCAGTGTTCCTTTAAAAAATACTTATTTTCGAATAAAGGCTTCTTGTGCAATTGCCGGATCACACATTTCAAAACTTCTGACTCGGCAGTAAACTCATGGAACATCCCCCACAGTTCCCTGCAAACAGAGCTCACTGCAGTGACCCACCACAGCCACTGGAAAATTAATGGAGGTGTCTCTGGATCTGCCAAAAGCCTTGGCCAATGGCAGAAGGAAATTCATCATGCTCAGGGAACTGAAGAATTGAGTTCTTCAGCCTCACACATTTGATATCAAATAATTCACTGTGATTTAGACTATTTCAGTGTATGTAGCAGAACATAATCAGCTCTGCCCTGCTCGAGGCAAAGGGATCTTTCTGGCTACGTTCCACTGTGGAAAACAAGAAATCTAAAATCAAAACTTTGTGTACTCTAATTGTGTTACTTTGCAAAGAAAACAGCACACTGAATTAATAATTTAAAAGACCTGTTAGAGCAGCTGATAATTTTCTGCTGCAGCAGGACACTGGGAAAATGCTGATGCTAAAAATTTAAAAGCTCTCCAGTTTTCTATCAAGTAGGTGAAGAGCTCCAGGCTGCTCATCTTGTCCTGCTCTCAGCCTAACTTTTTCTGGCAGCATTTTGTGCTCATTTTTGCCATGGCAAAAACTTTTTTCAAAAGTTTACTGCACATATCTTTTAATTATATATATAAATTTGAACTATATATATATTCTATATAATCATTCACATCAGCAATGAAAAATGCATTACAAGTATTTCTAAATACACAATTTTGACCAAAATTTGTACACTTTTAGAGTGGCCTGTCAAAAAAATCTCAGAATTCCCTGCCACTTGTGCAGTTATTGACCAACAATAATAAACAATTCTCTTTCTTTTTGGCTCTTGATGAACATAAGTCAGAATTCACACCCCTTACATGGCAAATGCATACATAATCAGATTTTCAGAAAGCATTCAGTAATAGAATATAAATAGCTTTTCTCCACATTAATGGTCTCACTTGTATATTCCAATTATTTTTTTTTTATTTTTACTTAACCTTTATATTTATTTGTATCTTATATTTATGTAAAAATGTATTTTCCATTTTTATACAACTTTAGTGTGTTTATTTTTATTTTATGTAATCAAAATATATTTTATATTTACATATAGCTTCGTATTTTCCATTTATCTTTTCCATTTATATGATAAAGTAGTAGGGATTATGTAATAACAACAGGCAATATTAGACGGGCACCTTATTGCTTACCAGATCCACTATTCTTGATAAGCTTAGTTAAATATTAAAAAATATTTATTTTAGATTTTCCTTGCTGGGTTTATTTCTTCTGACCTGAGATAAAAGAAAGGCACAGACAGCATGTTCTCTATGCCTTTTTTTAAATTTTACAATTTAACAATACCTACTTTTTCTTCATGTTGCCATATATTTAATGTCATCCCACTTGAAAAGGTGGGAGAGCACTGGTCACCCAGCAAAGGGAGGGAGTTGGGAGATTTGCTGTCAGTTCTGGCACCAGACATTTGGGCTCTGGACTAGAAAATCCTGGCTGAAGCTGTGACACCCCTCTGAGGCTGAGCTGTGATTAACCAACCAAACACCCCATCCCCAGCACTTTGCAAGAAGCTGAATTTAATGTGACTGTTCTCAGGGACAGAACAATAACTTGGGCTTCACTAAAACATATTTGGTTTTCATTAAAATGTGTCTTCAAATGCGGGCTGCTGGATTAGCGCAGAAGTGAAAGTCCAGAGGCATTTGGAGATGACAGTCTTGGCTAGATGCCAGTTTGGAAGCAATCCAGTGCAAGGGCACTGGTGAAAGATAACCATTTTTACAGAGTTGCTCTAAGAAAGGACAAATTCACAGCAGAACGCTGAGATGATACATGAAACAGAAAGGAGATACATGAGATTATGACAACACATGGGGACAAAATTAGCCAGCAGCTGTGTGCCACTCACATGAACTGAAATAAACGCGTAGTCACACTTCACTACCCACAAAGTGGCAAACATGTTGTAAGACACAGGAACTTTCCTCAGAACCCTAAGAGAAAGGAAGAGAGCTACAATCAGGAGATCTGGTTGCACTGAGCTCTGACTGGCTTTCATGGCTCCCCTGCACTCACTGTCGTAGCACAGTTGTACAGTGGACAGTCTTGGTGTGCTGGGCGCTCACCAGCAAGAGCTTCTGCTGGGGCAACACCAAACTGAAAGTTTTTAGACTCTCTGTATGATCTATGACCTTTCTAACACAATTCTGACAGAATTAGATGCTCCTAAGGTGAAAGCCCCGTAAGGTTCAGGTCTGAAATAAAATGTGGGCAAATAGCATCAAAATTAGTGCATAAATCCTGATCACATACTCATGTTCACATAGGAGGTTTTTAGTAGGAGGTGAAGTTAGTTTGTGCATACAATCTAGGAAATCCTTAGATTCTATTAGGGAAAATGTTCTAGTTCCAGTGCACTGTTTTCTTTGAAAACTTAGAGAATCCAGGTAAATCTATGTTAGGAAAATCTCATTCCCTAAATGTAGAATTAGTCTTTATACTATAAAATTGGATTAACTTCCTTGATAGTATGAAATTGTATTAGCTTTGACTTTCTGACCACAAAAAAGTCTGGTAAATATGTTTTTAAATATTAAGGGTAAATGTAACTGCAGTCTAAAAACTACTTGAGAGGAAACTGTACAGTGAAAACCAAAACCTCAGTAGTGGTTGATCCATGAGAAGAGAAGAGAGTCAGAGGCTGAACAGTTTTGGACAATAGAAAATGTTTTTCTATTTAGTGGATGCAGGATAATGCAGCCTGGAAGACTATGGAGAATCTGTCCTTTGATATTTTCAAAGCATAGCCAGTGAAAGTTGCAGCTGGTGAAACTCTTGCTTTAAGCAGGAGATTGGATCTGGGACCTCTGGACATACCCTTTTCAGCTAACACTTCTGTAAACAGTTCCTCTTGTGGATCTTCATTCAGCTCAAGTTCAAATGAATGTCTGTTTCCTTGGTTTATCTAAAGATGTTTGTTACACTAAAGAAAAAGAGAAGGAATTTACATCAGGTATTACAGGATTGTCCTGTGGCTTGTATGACATCAACTTGCCACTGTTTTATGAGTTTGCCATGTGACCCTAGAACACACTTTGCACACACAAGTGTAAGACACAACAGTAGTGAGAAGGTACTACAAATTCACAGTGGCAACCTCTCCCTGCTTAAACCTAAGACAGTTTAAGTCTTATTAAGTCACATGCCTAATGCTTGTGGAAAAAGTGCATCATTATGAATTGCTTTGCTTTATATTCTTACTTATTTCAATTTAGAGTTTTTTATTATTTTTTTGTTTGTTTGTTTGTTTTTGTTTGTTTCTTTTTTCCTTTTTCTTCTATTTTATTTTCCTTATAAATGCTCTTACTTTCAGACAAGAGTTTTAAGAGTTCTGGGGACTCTCATTTTAACTAAATCAAACTTAACTTTGCCTCCATTATGCAGCTGTATTTTACCTGACAAATTATTGCTGAGTCAGTTGAATCCTGAATTCCAGCATACTTGGGCTGAGCAATTTTAACAGAAAGATTAACCATGGCACCATGTGCAGGAGTCTGGCCTTATGAAAATGATACTTCAGACAATAATCTACAACATATAGAGGTATGGGGTTTTTTGTTTGTTTGTTGTTTGTTTGTTTTGTTGTTTGTGGGTTTTTTTTGTTCCCTGGGTGAGATACTTTGGATTCAAATCTCTTTCTAGATCTGATCCCAAGCTCAGCAAAAAAATGATGCCCTTTTAATGAGCTGTGATAAAAACTACATTTTAATTAACAGTGGGTGATGCAGCCACTAAACATGAAGTTTTAGAACATGGGTTTCCTTCCAGGAGATTT